TGATGTCACAAAATATTTTTAACTGTCAATTGCTCACTCCAGATAGTATCCAAAAAACACAGAACATTTCTTACTTACTTTACAGCCTTGTAAATGAATTAAGAAAGAATAGTTTAATAAGTTAGATGTAGGTACTCGGTAAATCCTATTCGCGAACAAACAAGCTAAAACTCTTGAAAAAGTATATCAAAATCGAGAGAAAGCTTCAAGAGGAAACTTTTATGTAACCTTTTCCAGTTTTCCTAATTCTGCCAGTGTTATTATCGATAAAAACAACCAATTTTAAAATGTTTAACCAAAAATTATTTAAGTAGCTATTATTAAACATTAGATATTTTTAATTAGTAGAATTGTTGATGTTTAGTGCTATTGCTGAAATTCGTATTACCTTGACTCTTTCACAGTGATCGATCATAAACAAAAGAAGAAAATTACTTATTTAGCTGTGTTACCGGGCAGGTGGGGTTTCATTATTTTTTTTATCAAAGCTAATCGGTAAAATCGAATGAATTACCGCAGTACCGCAAGTTATATTCTCTTAAATTATCATTATCCTTCAACGAAAGAGACAATGGCGAATAAAAATGCCCCATTCTATAGTAAACGTCACGAATATAAATAATATATATAAACGCCACAAAAATATGGGAGTGATTCATCGCTTGATGAAGTTAGAATCGACACGCGCGCTATCATTTTTACAGTAAAAACGTAAATTTTTACCGCAGACGTAGGGTTTTAAAGGCCCGGTCTAATCATCTGCCTGCGCTCCTCCTACTTATTCTAAAATGTTAGCGTGATTGACAAAGACGATACTATATCGCGTTTCTTTGATTGATTCGTTTTTGTGCGTCAGTCCATTGGTGTGCTTGCAGTGCGACCAATGGGGCATTCCATTTTATATTTATAACCAAATATATGTTTTGACAAGACTTTGACAGTTAAAACAACAAATTATAACAGATTATATATTGATTATTATATGACTCGAAACACCACGGCACTGGAATTAAGTTTTATGTGACCTTGAACAGTTCACATGGTAGCGACCATAGACAAACTAACAAAAGCAAGACGCGTCAACGCTGTACTGCAAAACGGTAACAAGTTTTATAAGAGTTTATTACCGCGCTTGCGTCAACTTGCCTTTTAGACGAGGACGGTTTACTTATGGATTGTGTATTTTGTAGTAGCCTTTTAGACAAGGATGTTTAATTAAAAAGCGTTTATTAAAATCATTCCATCGGTAAAATAAACAATAATTTCTGGACATAACAGATATAAAAACAAAAGTTAAATAAACGAAAACGTATTCCTCTTATTAAAATAACAAAAGAAGATGATAAAAACAACAGTTATGGTAAACAGAAATAAAAGCATTATTCTTCAAAAGGTACAAAAAAAAAAATAATTATGTATATTATAATATTAATAATAGGAACAACAAGAAACATCTTAAAAATATACAACTTTTTCAAATATAAAACAAAAACATAAACTTCACATTTTCACAAGAATTTGCAAAAATATTAACATTTCGAGTCTATTGTAAAATATAAAGCACGAAAATTCAAATCATAAAAAGATTAAAAAGATAAAGATTCTTATAACTTACAGTCAATTTGTAGGACCTTCGTTTTGTCTACGTTAGTGATGTAATCACAATAACATGTATAATCACAGTAATTATTATGTTCTTCATAAATGTAAAATGTATTAAATTATTTGTTTTCGTTTTGTACGCTAATAAAATAATAATAATAACCAAACAAAACGCAAAATCAGGAATTCAACAGTTCGTTCAAGGATGGTTCAAGGCAAAAACGTTTTTCGTTTTATTTAGGTTAGGTTTGAGGAGTGCGACTGCGCGATGATTTCTGACTCAACTGGCCAGCGCAAAAACAATAATTCGACTTCCTCAATCCTTTGAAAAGTCTTGCTTTTGTTAGTTTGTCTATGGTAGCGACCGCTGAATCACTCCCAAACATTCGTGGCGTTTACTATATCTTATTAGCCAGCCATACCAACAGGTATGGCAGGCTATTAAGATCGGCAAAAAAAAAGTTTTTTTAATTTCACTAAAAATGAGTTATTTGGGTCATAAATGCACCTAAATACAAAATATTTTCACGGTGTTTGTCTGTCTGTCTGTTTGTCCGTCTGTAACACGATAACTCAAAAACCGCTAAACCGATTTTAACCAAATTTGGCACAAAAATACTGTGGCACCCGAGAATCTGGCCATTAGTTTTTGGTGGGGGTGGGGCGTTGGTAAGGGGGTATGGGAGGGGGTTAAAAATTTTAAAAAATCGTAACTCCAAAACTGCAGTAGCTAGCGAAACGCGGTTTTCAATTTAAGATTAGGAATAATATTTGCAACAAAATTTGTAATACCATCAAAATCAGTCAAAGTCGCAGTTTTTGAGATAAAAAAAAATTGGAAAAATTATTCCTTTACTTTGAAACTAAAAGAACTGCCTACCAACTTTTTATTAACATATTGTATGGGCGGCTATACGTGCCTCCCGGCGCCAATTTTTTTTATTCCCTTTGTTTGCTTTTATACAGGGTTTTATACGTAACTCATTCATCAAAACTTTTTAGAATTTAATTTAGATATAAATTTGAATGTTTCAAGTTAAAGTTATTTCTAGATGTATTCTCTTCCGGTTAAATCGGAAATGGCTGAACATTTGCTTATTTTAGCCAGAATACCCAATGTTTTTTTCGATTTTTGAATTCTATTTGAAATTCTAAACACATCTTGGGTATAATATCATAAGCTGCATTCGGAACCTCGCACATCACAGTGGTTCCCAGATAGGTCATTAGAAATATTAATATCAAAATTCCCCTGTAAACGATACATAATAAATAACAAAATCCAGTAAGCCTGGTGTAGCGCTTTTTTTATTAGAAATGTCACCTTTTTGCTACTGGTATCAAGCTGACATAAACAGTTTTCAGATAACGCCAATTAATTACTTATTTTATTAAAATTGATAAAAGCTGTTGCCTTTTCTGTAATGGACGTTCGAAAAGAAGGTAAAAAGAACTGTTTTTTCTTTTTTGTACTTAATTAAACCTAAGTAATATTAGTTTATGGCAATTTATTTGAAGGCAACAAAAATAGTATTTTTACATTTTTGCTTGTCACTCTTTAAGATTTTTAACTACTTTCCCTTTCAAATCCTCTTAAACGGCATGATAATACTTGTTGCTTAAAGTATATTGCATATAAATTAATTGCCACTGGCTGCCGCGAATTGCCGCCGGATCTTATACCGGGTGGTTAAAGATTGACTTTTTGTCTTAAAATAAAAGTAACTTATTTTTTCCTCTTCGTGTCAACTTAGTTCGTGGACACACTGTATATCAATTGACAATAAAATTATATTTATAAAATGAAACAATTGTCTCTTTTATTTTTTCAACATTTAAAATAAATTTGACCTCTTCGATATCAAAAAACATGTACCTACATATGTGCAAACATAATCTGTATACCTTTCCGAATAGTTAGAACTTAAAATGCAAATCACACGAACTGGGCCCAATTTTTTTAATACATATTACATTAAGTTTTTTATATACATTTATTTAGCATTTGTTATCACTCTCTATTAAAAAATGTGCAGTCAAGCTATATCTAGATATCTAACAGTTATGACTGCGCAGCTAATTAAGGGGAACCACTGTGCACATCAAGTGTTAAAATCTGTATAGTAGGTGATAATAGTCTAGTTGGCCAAAATGTTGGCCAAAATCAATAATTTTTGACAATAAGTTTAATAAAGTTGTAATAAATTAATTTATGCGGGTTTATATTTGATTGATGTCCTCTAACGGACAGAAGAACTTTTTTATAAAGGTAAATTGTATTCAGATAACTTATTGTGATTCCAAAAATATGTAGTAACGTAGTAGTTCTATGTCCATAAAATATTTGAACACCCTGTAAGTATATTTATGACTCACAAATATCAATTATCTTATAAGCCTTCTTCAACCCAAATGTGAAGCTTTAAATATATACCGGGTGCGTCTCAAAAGTGGCTCACCCCCTATAACTTTTTTATTTTTTCAGATAAAAAAACGAGATTTGGTATGTTAGTATGTGACATAAATTAGGATTGATTGACGTATTCAATTGTTTTTGGTCACTTCCTGTTTCACCGGAAATGACTACAACTTTTGATTTTTAAACGGAACCCTCAGTATTTTTTTACTTTATTCCATAGAAAATAACACTCTGAATAGAATGACATTTCATACGTCAACTTTTGACATTTTCACATATTATGGTTTATTTGAAATTATAACTAGCGGTTCGTAACGAAAATTTGACTTGAAATACCAAGTGTGTGGTATCAAATTATTCGTAAAAAAATGCTTTTTCCAAATATGCTAATGAGCCACCCTCGTTCCATTTGAAAAAATTGAGATATGATTAAAATTACGATTTGAGCATTTACTAACTGGCCAGGACAAGACAATATAAACATTAGACGATCAAATCAATTTTTCCAAGGCTCCTTGACTAAGAATTAGTGTTTTTAACATAGTCTTAGATTGAATATTAAAATAAGATATTTTATTAAGCGAAAATTTCAAAAGTTGATATATGATATGTCATTTTATTCAGAATGTCATTTTCTATCGAATAAAGTAAAAAAATACCGAGGGTGTCATTTAAAAACCAAAAGTTGTAGTCATTTCCGGTGAAACAGGAAGTGACCAAAAACCATTGAATACATCAATCAATCCTAATATATGTCATATAGTAATATACCAAATCTCGTTTTTCCATCTGGAAAAATAAAAAAGTTATGGGGGTAAGCCACTTTTGAGACGCACCCGGTATATGCTCTTATCTTGTCTGAGTAATATCAATTATTAATAAAACAAATTAGCGCTTAGTGCTACATATAGTATTATTAACACACCAACGGCAAACAAACGTAGCTATTATTTTTGACGTGTGACGTTAGACAACCTACCCGTGCTTATAGTTAGGTGCTGCAAGGTTATTATTTGACTTAAACAGATTCATAAAGGATTTGGTGGAAAACCTAAAAAAAAATAAACAAGAACAAAAATTAAAACAAAAAAAAACATAAGAAAAAAAAACAATAAATTAAAGAAATAATTAAAATCTTAAAAAGAGAAAATAAAATGTACATTATTATCAGGTATGATAACAGATATCCACATAATGTTTTAAGCGACTTTTTGTTTACTTATTTTATATTATTTCTTTCTTTTAGTCAAAAAACTTACTTGCTTTGCATACCGGTTGGACTTCCGGTAACTCCAGTTTGATTGAAGTCTCCGGTGGAACTCCATCGTTTATGAAGGCTACCGTTGTTTGAGATTATACTGAAACAAGAAAAAGCTCATTTAAAATTGTATTAAAAATTTTAAAAGCGACAAAGAAGATATAAGAAGATCTACAATACATGACACGCAAGCTAAAAGAAGTTTACAGGTTGTTAATTTGTTTATTACTCGCGACAAGAGCTTTATGGTTGAAATATGGCAACCTCGGCCCGCTCGTCGAGAGACGACGCGACGGGACTTAGCTTAGTCACAAAATAGAAATCAACAATTGATTTCTATTTTGTGGCATAGTACTCATTTGGAATGTAGGCAGTGTTGCCATTGTTCCCCAATAAGTAACCGTCCAGTTAACAATCTGTATATAGATTGGGGATTAGATATACAGGGTATTCCTTAATGACATGGTAATATTTAAGGAGGTTATTCTTGGACTTATTCTAAGAAAAAAACTTCATATGAATGTGTGTCCTAAACATCTTTCTGAGATACAGGGTGGTAAAATTTTCAAAAAATATCTTTTTTTCATAAATCTGATTTAATTATACATATCTTTATGAAACTTGATACACATCTTCTATGCATCAAAATACCTTTTTTAGTGTACAAAATTTTTTATTTATTTCAACCAGTGCCGTCCATACGGGTTTTACATTGAATATTTTTGGAGATTTTTTTTTTGTATATCAAAATAAGCATTTATTCAATCAAATATACCATCAGAGATATTGTGAAAAAAAAATAAAAAAAATTTACAACCCTGGATCTAAAAAGTTAAAATGTTTAGGTTTGGTTATATTCATATAAAGTTTTTTTCTTAGAATAGGTCCAAGAATCACCTCCTCAAATATTAGCATGTCATTAAGGAACACCCTGTATATTTACTTTTTACTCTAACGCAACTAGGTATAGAAAAAATGTCGATTGCTAGTTAACTAATCATTTTCATATCATTATCCCATTTGCTTTTATTCACGATCTAATTGCTTAATATTCTCAAAACTAAACAAGGTTGTTTCGTTTTTCGCTATTTTTTCTTGTTTAAATTAAAAAGTTCCCAATTAAACTACTCTAACTTTCCAATTAACTTTGTTTTGTTCTAAACGAGGCTACGCTTATACTTAGTCATAGCTCGTTGTGAAAGATAAACCGTTTCCCATGATTTACTATCGATATCGACTAAATAAATATAAATGTTTATGTAAAAGGGAAACAGTTGCAGTAATTGTAGTGCCAATAAATGCATTTACTTATGTACAGTACATAATCAAATTATTTATATTTAGAATACTTATACTGGGTGGTGCATCGTCGTTGGAAATACAGAAAATGCCATGCAATGCACCCGGTATACTACACTTATAAAATTTATAAGTAAGTAAGCCAAAGACGACTGTCAAAAAATAACGTCACATGACATGACATCATCGATCCGTCTCTGATGCATCAATATAAAAATCCTCTGTGGTCTTGCTGGACAACCTTTAAATGGCAAATCACTATTTGTATGTAACGGAGTATATGCAACCAGTAATTTGCCACCAAATTTTATTTTTAAATTGAAAGTATTTATTCAAAAATATATTTAATATATTTAAACAAAAACAAAATATTTATTCAAAAATATATTTAATATATTTTTGAATAAATATTTTCAATTTAAAAATAAAATTTGGAGGCAACAAATTTACATACAAATTAATACAAATAGTGATTTGCTATTTAAAGCTTGTCCAGCAAGACCACAGAGGATTTTTATATTGATGCATCAGAGACGGAATCGATGTCATGTCATGTGACGTTATTTTTTGACAGGCTTGTTTGGTTTGGCGTTTCACTTGACACATTCGAATTTGATTTGCATTTTAGCTGATTTGTTGGGGTTTTGTGAGTATATTTTATGTTATTAATGTTTTATTATGTAGCTAGGTTTATACAGCATCACACTAGGTGTACAAATTTGGAAAGGCATTGTGTCAGGTCTTGAATTAGAGTGACATCATTGTGAATCTTAAAAAGGGGCTAAATATAGTTTTTAGTGTAGCAAGCGACAAGAACAAAAAAAGTTTGAAATAAAACACTCAACAATCATCCTTACAAAACTCCTGTAAATATTTTGTAACAAGGTTAAAAACGGAAAAAAAATATTTCTTTTGTAGTACCTTGGACTGGTAGCTGTTGGCGTACTTGGCGTTCTTCTCGCAACTTGCAGAGGCAATGGGGTTGCCCTGGGTGAAGGGGAAGGAATGGGACTTACGCTACTTGAACTATGACTGTCGGAGTGTAGACTTCCGGTAGACTGATAGTGGACGGCACGTCGTTGAGGAAGGGAAGACCCTGTATATCTACTGAAACAAAATATATAATTATTAGTAGTGGGAACTATCGAATGAATACTATCGAAACATTCGATAGTTGCAATTCATTCGAATATTTCGATAGCTAGTAAAAAAACATTCGTTGAAAACTATTCGAATAAAAATTATTGAATAGATGCGTCATCTGCCTTGAAATATTGTATTCTAGTAATTCGGCAGCAAAAACCATTCATTTATAAAATTCATTCATTTAGAAAATTCATTTATTCGTCAGGATCGATTATAATAAAATATTAACTGGATTTTAGTTGTCGCCCGGCGACGTAGGTTTCTTTCCGAAAAACCCGGTCGGTGGCAATGCTATGAAAGAAGCCGGCATCTTTGATTTTTTGTGGAGTCAGATAAAGATAAGGACACACTATTTTTTTTTATTGAGGTGCTAGTATTTACACAGAAAATACATTATGAAGGGCGCTGTTGCCATATATTGGTATTAGTCTCGGTATTAATTGATATTAGCAAAGAATAATTATTGTTTGGCTTTAGTAGTTAGGGATAGTATGTCTATATATTTTATATTTTTTTATTAATATTCTGTTGTTACACTGCAATAATACTTGTTATTTTGGATGTAGGAAAATTATTTTTAATGTGTTTAAGCAAAGACTGGTTTAATAAATAATAATAACAGTAATAATTTGTTATACCTATTAACAACAAAATTTGAAATCATTTAATATAAACATTTTTTTTAAGTAGTAGCAAAATATAAACAACAAATTTGATGTCAAAATTATTTATATTAGATCCTATTTAAAAATAATATAGTCTCTCAATTTTTTGTGGCAACGTTGGTTTATTAAATAATAATAATTACAGAACTAATTTGTTATATTAACAACAAATTTTAAAATCATGAAATATAAACATTTATTAATTTTCTAAGCGTGCAGTGTAATGCAAGGAAAATATAAATAAAAATTAGAAATCAAAATTATTTATATTCGGTACTTTATATTACTATTTAATAATAATAATATTTACTTTTACTGGTATTTACTTACTAAAAAATAAATGAAATATTTCTTCGCAAAAAACTACATGTAAGAGAATTAGCATAAACAAAATACAAACATCGTTAACTTTTTTTTAAATTGGCACGTGTAAAACTTTTAATTTAATTTTCTCACCCCATAGTCTGAGTTCGATAACCATTTACTTAACCACATTAATTAATATAATTATTAAGTTCAACTAATTCATATTATTAAAACATCTAAAATACAAATATGTATTTTTAAAATTAATTGTAAGTTCATCTCATCTCTCTTAAAAATTGCTACTTCTCAAAATTTCCCATTAAAAAATAGACCATATACCATATAAAATTAAATAATTGAAAGATCGGGCTACGGAAAATCACACAAACTTTCGGAAAAATTTTGACCACCTGCACACGCACACAATCGTCAATTAAACAAACTACTATTTTAGTATTTTAAATATTTTAATAAACGCAAAAATAGCACAGTATTTATAAGGCGAAGTTATAAAAATTTGGAAGAATTAATAATGCACTGACGCACACAAAAATCAAACGAATACTAAATTTCATTTATCAAAAACATTCGATAGTCGTGGCTCAACAATAACCATTTAGTCGCACGGCGAGGTTGTCACATATGCTTTAGTATACAAATGAATGAATGATTTTATTCGAATAAAACCATTCGATAGTTGAAATCATTCATTCAGTAACCATTCGATAGTCTAATTCATTCGATAGTTCCCATCGCTAATAATTATATTAAATAAATACTGATTTTTATTGTACAGAGTGCCCCATTTTCATGCTTTATGCTGGGTTTCTCGTTTATGAAAAAATATACGAAGATCCTCACATTACTGTACTACTTTTATATGAAACTAAAGAAGATACACACAGATTTGTCCTAGCTTTCTTAGTTCCTGAGGTACAGGGCGACTTTGAAACTAATGATCCATTTTTCGATTTCCTTTGTATCTCGCTTATCTTATAATTTATCAAGAAGGTGAAAACTGTATCCCATATAATTTTTCACGTAGAATCCAGAGGCGTAACTAGTTTTTCATTGGTAGCTGTCATTTTCGAAATACGACTCAAACTTATGCTTTTTTTTGAATGAGACACCCTATATATTATTATTTTTTATTTAATTTGCCTTTTTATGTCAGTAAAAAGTAGTACCACAGATTATACAGATCATAAACTTTGTTTTTTCTTTATTGTTTTTCGTGGTTCCAATTTTCGGAATCGGGCACTAGTTAGGTTACTAGTTTGTGCACATAGCACGCCCACTTATGGCCTCTAAAATTGTGCACATCAGCGCCTGACCGGCACAGTTATTAGAGAGATATCGGAAAACCGAATAGCGTCATGCAGTATTTACGCGTACCTTATGGTTACGATATGCGCGAGTCAATTTTTAACGCAACACCCGCTAATAACGTTACCGCCTGACGTAATTTGCGGATCAATTACACCAAGCGCTATTTCTAAATAACGTTTAAAAATTGCTTAAATGGGCATGTGCCGGAATTTGACAACCGGGGCCGGCCGGCGAGATCTTTTATTTTAGATTGTGTTTGAATTGTTTTGAATTATTACTTTAGTTTTATTAGGTAATTTGATATTTAAGAAGCTGGGATTAGTTTTAATTAAATAAATATGGCCCAAAATATGGATTCCACCTCTTTCAATATTAAAGAACCTATAATGAGGCTTAGGTTTACAGCAGATGACGACATAGCCCTTCTAAGAGAATTTGTTGCTTGTTGCCCTAAACCCACTGGCAGACGTTGAACAATAAAGCATTTTAGCCCTTTAGTTTTAAAATACCTAGTAAACAAAACAATTTCAAAGTTTTAAATTCAAAGTTAGGTTAAGTTTAAATAGCGGACGCGAGGCGAACAGAATTCTTTCCGATCCGATAAGTATAAATGAAGAGAGTTAATACCACCTCACGTAAAGGAAAAACACCTGGCCTTATTAACGTCCATGCACGCTATTCGGTTTAGCGATATCTCTCTATTACGCTGTTTATTGTTATTTTACGGGAGTTTATTTTTGCGCACAGGAAATTTTACTCCTTTGCACATCGTCATAAAAAACAATTTTCGTACCACGAATTAGGGACAAGATTTTTATCTGTATACTTATAGGATACCTAATCTGTGGTAGTACAGTGATGTGAAAACCGCATCTTTGTATCTCTACTCATAACGAGAAATCCTGTAAAACAAACGAAAATAGGACACCCTGTACAGATTAATTATTACAACAGTTAGTTTTAAAATGAAAATGAACAACATAAGGCATTCCATTAAAAGAAATCTTGCTACTAGATTTACCAAATGCGGTATTATTTGTCTTGAATAAAATTAAAAAAAAAATAGTAATAATAACAATGTAAGAACTAAGAAAAAGTCATAGCCTATTCAATTTTAAGCACATTGATCTACTTTGCCTTTTATTAATTCTAATTACTCCAACACTGATTGATGTATTTAGATTGGATGTAATTATGTCAGGCAATACGAAACGTTATTGATATTTTCTTGCTAACTACATTAACTAGGGACGTCCGAATGTATCGATTAATTAAAATATCGATAGTTTTGTTTTGTAAAAATTTCGATACATATCAGCAGAATTGAAAAAAATCGTTTTTTTTTAATTTTTAAAGAAAACGTTTTTCTTATGGTTTTTATTGTTTTAAACACGATTTTCACTCCAAGTTAGCACTCAAACACAAAATTCATTCCAGGCATTTTGTAAACACTTTTCTGTTACAACCAAACATGTTCTAAAAACAAGTAAATGGTTATTTAAACACGTTTAAAACACTTGTTTTTAAACAAAACTTTATACATTTAAACCGGATGCTTATCAGTGATATTTTTGATTGCAAAAATATCAGCGTTTAAATTTAATAATCGGATAATAAATATAGGAAGCCATTTTTTTATACCTAGTTTTACAATAATTTGATTAGTTAATTTATTTAAATCGATTTTGAAATTTAAACAGATTTTTTATTATTGTTAAAAATGGAAAATTTTGTTGTTTAAAAAAAACACAGGGTGTCCCAGAAATAAGTGCAAGTATTTTAAGGGGTGGTAGCTATCTCGACAAAAGAAACATATTTTCTCTTTATCGTTTTTCAAATAAGTCCAAAATAACGGAGTTATTTTGGATATGTTGTATGTAATATACTTGCACTTATTTCTGGGACACCCTGTATAGTCCTAGCAAACCAATAGTATGAGCAAACCATGTGTATATCGATATTTTTTTATTAATTCGAACATCCCTATTAACTACCTTAACCTTTTTTTGCGTTTATAGCGTACGAAACAGTTTATTAATAATTATTATCATTAAGTAGTGGAAGTTTCTATTTAAAATTGTGACACATAATTTCTGCAATGATTAATGAGAAATGTTTATATTTTATTTATTAGTGTTCTAATATAACTTTTCCCATCGATTGTTAATTTTTACTTCTACCGTTGATTGAAAGAATTGGGAAGATACGGAACCTAATGGGTGAATTAGTGATAAGGCTCATTTGATTTCACCTTAGTCTCAAGTGCTGTACGGTGGAGACACCAATCGCTCTGCGGTCAACACATAAAACACTTATTCTCTAATACGGCCAGCGAAGGCATATCGAAGACGGTGTGGACCTGAAAGCGATACTGTTGCCATATTAGAATGTGTAATATCTGTAATACGTTTGACGAACATATCTTTGGATGAAAAATCTGCGTTTATGTATTGCAAATTTATTCGTGTTAAACATAGAATAAACAACAAAAATAAAAATTCTTTTATAGGTACCGAATATGTCCTATGATCGGAAAAAGTCGTCTAGTTGGCTTGGAAATGACGATTTTTTATTATTTACCTAATTTACCATAATATTTTACATATGAAATAATAGCGACCTTCATTTCCAAGCCAACTTTGACACCGTTCTTTGTTTAAT